TCACCCAGGCTGGAGTGCAGTGGCATGATCACAGCTCACTACAGCCTTGACCTCCTGGGCCCATGCAGTCCTCCAGCCTCAGTCTCCAGAGTCGCTGAGACTCCAGGCACATGCCATCACACTCAGCCAATATAAAGATTTTGTGGAGATGGGGTCTGTTTGTTGTCCAGGCTGGTCTCAAACTCCTGGGCTCAAGTGTTGCTCCTGCTTTGGCTTCCCAGAGTGCTGGGATTGCAGGAGTGAGTCACCATACCCTGCTGAGAAATACATTTCTGGTTTTTGTAAGCCACCCAGTCTATGGGAGTCTGTTATAGTAGCCCGAATGGACTGAGACAGTCCCCAGGGAAAGTCTTTCTGGCTTGGTCCATGGGCAGATGATTTCCTCACCCCCACAGTGCAGACCCCAGTGACAGGTCCTCATCCACTGGCATTTCAGCTTTAGTTATTCTCCTTTGGAGATTTTATGTTTTGTCTGAGGGAAGGACACTATTTTCTACAGTGTCCTGGAAGAGATACGCTGACACAAAGTGCAAGCCAAAAGCAAAGGAATCAAAAGTGATAGGAACCTTCCTTTCTTTCCTAACTTTCTGATTCTAGTGCTCTGGCACTAGAATCAGAAAGTCTGGGGACATCATGTGGCCAGTCTGGGGACATCATGTGGCCAGCAGATAAAACCAACACTCGCAGAGGCCTCATCGCAATACATACTGTCTGAGAGGACAATATTTAACCAAAGAACCTCAAGAGGCTGAAACCCTGCACTCCAAACTCTGAATCTTGACTCAAAAGGCAAACATCAAAGTAACCCTGGGTGAGAAGATAAAAGCTCCATGATGCAGAAAGTGAGGGCCCATAGCTTCTTTTTATTTATTTGTTTATTTATTTTTGAGACAGAGTCTCGCTCTGTCTGCCAGGCTGGAGTGCAGTTGTGTAATCTCGGCTCACTGCAACCTCCATCTCCTGGGTTCAAGCGATTCTCCTGCCCCAGCCTCCCAAGTAGCTGGGACTACAGGTGCCCGCCATCATGCCCAGATAATTTTTGTATTTTTAGTAGAGATGGGGTTTCACCATATTGGCCAGGCTGGTCTTGAACTCTTGACCTTGTGGTCCGCCTGCCTCGGCCTCCCAAAGTGCCAGGATTACAGGTGTGAGCCACTGCACCCAGCCTTATTTATTTATTTTTGAGACAGAGTCTCGATTATCACCCAGGCTGGAGTACAGTGGCACGATCATGGCTCACTGCAACCTCCGCCTCCCGGGCTCAAGCGGTTCTCCTGCCTCAGCGTCCAAATAGCTGGGATTACAGGTGCGTGCTACTATGCCCAGCTAATTTTTGTATTTTTAGTAGAGACAAGTTTTCACCATGTTAAGTAGGCTGGTCTCGAACTCCTGACCTCAGGTGAACCATCCACCTCAGCCTCCAAAAGTGCTGAGATTATAGGTGTGAGCCACCACACCCGGCCACGCATAGCTTCTTAGTGGTCACTTGGCACAAACAGGGAACCCCTGTCCCTGCTTAGACAACTCAAGGCCACTATATTAAGGACAACCACCAAAATCAGAATGAAAGGGTACCTCATGACTTTAGGGCTAGCTGTGTCCCATCAAAGCGGAAGGCCAGGTCCTGGCCTTAGCATAGGACCTTATCGGAGAGTAACAAGGGGAGAGGCTTCAGCGTGAGAAAACCGGTCAGGCGTGGTGGCTCAAACCTGTAATCCCAGCACTTTGGGAGGCCGAGGCGGGTAGATCACTTGAGGTCAGGAATTCGAGACCAGGCTGGACAACATGGTAAAACCCTGTCTCTCCTAAAAATACAAAAATTAGCCGAGCGTGGGGGTGCACACCTATAATCCCACCTACTTGGGAGGCTGAGGCACGAGAATCACTTGAACCCTGGAGGCGTAAATTGCAGTGAGCCGAGATCACACCACTGCACTCCAGCCTGAGCGACAGAGCAAGACTCTAAAAAAAAAAAGGAAAGAAAAAAAAGTGAGAAAACTAGGCCTGGTTTCAGCTCTGCCATGACTGGCTGATCAACCCTGGACAAACCACCACGCGTGTTCCGGCCCCTGCTTCCTTATGCATCAACAAGAAGGTAATAATGCCCAGCACACAGGGCAGTGGTGAGGCTCAGAAAGCATATTAGTAGACCATGTGGAAGAATTCTGCTTGCCCCTGTTTTGAAGGAGTGATTAATCATGTATAGAAATTAGGCATGAGTCTCAGGATGATAAAGGCCAAGGTGGGTGATATTAAGATGCAATTCCGTCATTGCTGCTGTGATTATCATCACCCTTGTATTCTTCCAATTTCCTCACCTCCTACTTTATTTAATGCTTTCAGCAACCCTGTGAGGAAGGTAAGGAAGGGCAAATAATTATGATGTCCATTTTAGAGGGGAAAGAAAGGCAAGAAGAGTTTATACTGTCAAATGCTGCCTGGCTGGTTTGCATGACAGGGCTTTCTCTTCAACCTAGTTCAGGAGCTGAATGTCCCCATCTTCAGAATAGGTGCTAGTCAACAGCAGAGCTCTTATATGGATGAATTGTAAGACAAAAAAAAAAGAGAGAAAGAGAGACATGTATATTAGGAGATAAGAGACACTGAATAATGGGTATAAGGGTTCTTTCTGGGGGTGATGACAATATCCTAAAATTAGATTATGGTGATGGTTTTACAACTCTGTAAATACAGTAAAAAACATATATTTGTACACCTTAAGTGAATTTCATAGAATGTAAATTGTATGTCAGCCAGGCGCAGTGGCTCACGCCTGTAATCCTAGCACTTTGGGAGGCTGAGGTAGGCTGATTGCTTGAGCTCAGGAGTTCGAGACCAGCCTGGGCAACATGGTGAAACCCCATCTCTACTAAAAATGCAAAAATTAGCTGGGCGTGGTGGCACATGCCTGTAATCCCAGCTGCTCAGGAGGCTGAGGATCACTTGAACCCGGGAGGCAGAGGTTGCAGTGAGCCAAGATTCACACCACTGTACTCCAGCTTGGGTGACAATGTGAGACCCTGTCTCCAAAATAAAATAAATAAATAAATAATATTCCCAACAAAGCTGTTAAAGGAAAGGACATACCATTTTTTTTAATGGGCAAGATGAAACTACTATGGCTGGCCGGGCGCGGTGGCTCAAGCCTGTAATCCCAGCACTTTGGGAGGCCGAGACGGGTGGATCCCGAGGTCAGGAGATCGAGACCATCCTGGTGAACACAGTGAAACCCCGTCTCTACTAAAACTACAAAAAAACTAGCCGGGCGAGGTGGCGGGCGCCTGTAGTCCCAGCTACTCGGGAGGCTGAGGCAGGAGAATGGCGTGAACCCGGGAGGCGGAGCTTGCAGTGAGCTGAGATCCGGCCGCTGCACTCCAGCCTGGGCGACAGAGCAAGACTCCGTCTCAAAAAAAAAAAAAAAAAGAAACTACTATGGCTATGGATGCATATTTGAGTGGTAAAACTCTAAAGAAATGCAAGGAAGTGATTAGTGTGAAAGTCAAGACTCCTTTCAGGCACAGGGAGGGTTTTGTGATTAGAATGGGGCACAGGAAGGAGCTTCTGGGGCGGGTAGTAGGTTCTATTTCTTGACCTGAATGATAGTTACAAGGGTATTTACCTTATAATAACTCATTAAGCTCCACATGTTTCATGTAGTTTTCTGTATCTGTTTTCTTATACAATAAAATGGTTGTTAAAAATAGGGGAAATCAAGTATGAAATAACACCCTGTGTCAGACATACTGTAGGGTGGCCCCCGTGAGCCCCACTTCCTGGCATTCATGTCCTTCTGTAATCCCCTCCCCTGGAGTGTGGGTGGTACCGTGACTTGCTTCCAATCAATAGAAGGCAAAGGCAATGGGATGTACATGATTACGTGTTTATGTGGTTATGCTATGTAAGATTTTGTGTCATCTGGCTAGGATACCCTCTCCCTTGTTGGCTTTGAGGAAGCAAGCAGCTGTGTTGCAAAGGCCTATGGAGTAAGGAACTGAGGGTGGTCTCCAGCCAACAACCAGAAAGAAACTGAGGCCCTCAGTCCGGCAACTCACAAGGAACTGAAGGCTGCCAACAACCATGTGAGTTTGGAGGCAGATCCTTCCCCATTTGAGCCTCTGATGACCCTGTGTCCCCAGATGACATGTTGACTGCAGCTTGTAAAACTCCGATGTAGGAGCCTCAGCTAAGGTATGCCCTGACTCCTGACTCACAGAAAGTGTGAAATAATATATATGTGTTATTTTAAACCATTAAATTTGTGGCAATATTCTTCATAGCGATTGATAAGTAGCAAATTGTGTTTAGAGATCCTCTGAGACTGTCCTCAGGTTCAGTGATTCACTAGAAGGACTCACAGAATTCAGCAAAGCTGTTGTACTCATGGTTACAGTTTATTACAGTGAAAGGCTACAGATTAAAATCAGCAATGAAGAAAGGCACAGGAGGCAAGGTCCAAGAGAACTTCCAATTATCCTCTCCTGGCAGAGTCTTCAGGATAATGCTTAATTCTCCCAGCAATGATGTGTGGCCACAGTGATGTGTGCACAGAGTATTACCAACCAGGGTAGCTCACCCATGCCTTGGTGTCTAGGGCTTTTACTGGGGATTGGTCACATAGGCATGCTTCACTGCCCACATGGCTGACTTAGTCTCCTCAGCTTGACCTTGCAAGGTCAAGCTAATACTGCATGGCCCAAGGCCCACAGGTAAACAAAAACACTCTTATCAGGCAGGATATTCTAATGGCTTAGAGGTTATCTCCCAGGAGCCAGGCAGGGGCCTGTCCTTTATTTGGAATGTCCAGGGTTCAAACATCCCAAGTTCATCCTGTATCACACAAAAGGATTAACTTCAAAAGTGGTATTCTTGGCCAGGTGTTGTGGCTCACACCTGTAATCCAGCACCTTGGGAGGCTGAGGTGGGAGGACTGCTTAAGGCCAGGAATTCGACACCAGCCTGGGCAACCTAGGGAGATCCAATCTCTATTGTAATTTTTCTTTTTTTTTTTTTTTTTTTTTTGAGACGGAGTCTCGCTCTGTCGCCCAGGCTGGAGTGCAGTCGCGCGATCTCGCCTCACTGCAAGCTCCGCCTCCCGGGTTTACGCCATTCTCCTGCCTCAGCCTCCCGAGTAGCTGGGACTACAGGCGCCCACAACCGCGCCCGGCTAATTTTTTGTATTTTTAGTAGAGACGGGGTTTCACCGTGGTCTCGATCTCCTGACCTTGTGATCCGCCCGCCTTGGCCTCCCAAAGTGCTGGGATTACAGACGTGAGCCACCGCGCCCGGCCTGTAATTTTTCTTAAAAGTGGTATTCTTAAGTTACTACCCTGATTGATGACAGGGAGAGAGACCAGGAAACCACTGTGTTGTAATCCCTGAGGAAACCTTACACCTTTACTTGCTTTATTATCAGGTAATTTCCAGGATGTAAGCCATACAGCCAGAAGGCAGGGTGCAGAGGAGAGGCGGCAGAGATGGTACACTCATACAGAAGCTTCTCCTGATTGTCCACCGAATAGAAGGCAAGCTTCCCCTCCTCAAGGTTCAGCCAGATGCCCACCACCCCAGGTCTGTCTGAGCCAAGGACAGTTTCCTTGACCATGTGCCATGCAGAGAGCTGGTTAGTCCCCTTCCATTCCACACAACAAGAGTCCATAGTCCTTCCCAGGACCTGGTCACGGCTCATCTCCCAGGAAGCCACCCCAACTGCCCAGTGGCTGCAGTTCCTAGTGTCCACTTCCCAGTAATGCTTTCCAGAAAAGAGGGCCTGGGAACACAAGACCTGGCTGGTAGAAAACCTCTCAGAGCTCCAGCGATAGGGTTGTGGGCGGCGAGACACAGTCACTGTACGGGAATCCGTGGACACCTCCAGGCTGCAGGAAAGGCTCTTCAAGTTAAAGGTTGGATGGATGGCCCCTTTGGGAAAAAAAAAGAACACCAAGAACATGGCCAGTCATCTTTTGACCATCCATGCTAAGAAGTCTTGGAATAGCAAAAAGCAACTTTGTATCTTTTGGTGTGATGTTTCACTCACACTGGCATTAAAATTATTCGGTGTGATGTTTCACTCACACTGGCATTAAAATTATTCGGTGTGATGTTTCTCACACTGGCATTAAAATTATTCGGTGTGATGTTTCACTCACACTGGCATTAAAATTGGTACATCACCCAACAGGAAGAAATGATAAATGTTTCAGATGATAGATAAGCTAACTACCTTGATCTGATCACTATGCATCATATGTATTGAAACATCACTATGTATCCCATAAATATGTACAATGACTACATTTATTTATTTTAAAAATTTATTTAGAAAAGAAGCAGGATTTTGCCATGTTTCCCAGGTTGGTGTTGAACTCCTGAGCTCCAGCAATCCTGCCATCTCAGCCTCCCAAAGTGCTGCGATTACAGGCATGAGCCACTGCACCCAGACTATACAATTATTATATGTCAATTTTAAAAATCAGGCCAGCCCGGCGCGGTGGCTCACGCCTCTAATCCCAGCACTTTGGGAGGCCGAGGCGGGCAGATCACAAGGTCAGGAGATCAAGACCATCCTGACTAACACGGTGAAACCCTGTCTCTACTAAAAACACAAAAAATTAGCCAGGCATGGTGGTAGGCTCCTGTAGCAGAGCTTGCAGTGAGCCGAGATCACGCCACTGCACTCCAGCCTGGGCGACAGAGCGAGGCTCTGTCTCAAAAAAAAAAAAAAAAAAAATTAGCTGGGCATGGTAGCTCATGCCTGTAATCCCAGCTACTTGGGAGGCTGAGGCAGGAAAATTGCTTGAGCCTGGGAGGCAGAGGTTGCAGTGAGCCAAGATGTGCCACTGCACTCCAGCCTGGGGAACAGAGAAGATTTTGTCTCAAAAACAAAACAAAACAAAACAAACAAACAAACAAACGGTGGCCCACGCCTATTATCCCAGCACTTTGGGAGGCTGAGGCGGGCAGATCACGAGGTCAGGAGTTTGAGACCAGCCATGGCTAACCTGGTGAAACCCCGTTTCTACTAAAAATACAAAAAATTAGCCAGGCGTGGTAGCACATGCCTGGAATCCCAGCTACTCGGGAGGCTGAGGCAGGGGAATCATTTGAACCCAGGAGCCAGAGGTTGCAGTGAGCCGAGATCATGCCACTGCACTCCAGCCTGGGCGACAGAGCGAGACTCTGTCTCAAAAAAAAAAAAAAAAAAAAATTAGCTGGGCATGGTAGCTCATGCCTGTAATCCCAGCTACTTGGGAGGCTGAGGCAGGAAAATTGCTTGAGCCTGGGAGGCAGAGGTTGCAGTGAGCCAAGATGTGCCACTGCACTCCAGCCTGGGGAACAGAGAAGATTTTGTCTCAAAAACAAAACAAAACAAAACTTGAGAGGCTGAGGTGGGAGGATCACTTGAGGCGAGGAGTTCCAGACCAGCCTGGGCAACATAGAGAGACCCTGTCTCTACAAAAATAAGCAAGCAAACAACCAAAAATTGGTACATCAACTTGCAATTTTCTATACATACCTCTGATATTATTATATCAACAATACCCCTTTCCCATATTAATTTTTACTAACCCACTAGTCATCTTTTAGGAAGCCCTCTTGGCATCCCACCCAGCAAAGTCATCTCTTGCTTTTCTCAACACCTCTGGTGCTTTATGTGTTCCCTCATGATACTTACCAGCTTCTATCTATCTATCTATCTATCTACCTACCTACCTATATATATATTTTTTTTGAGACAGAGTTTTGCTCTTGGTGCCCAGGCTGGAGTGCAATGGCACGATCTCAGCTCACCACAACCTCTGCCTCCCAGGTTCAAGCAATTCTCCTGCGTCGGCCTCCTGAGAAGCTGTGATTACAGATATGCACCACCATGCCTGGCTAATTTTGTATTTTTAGTAGAGACGGGGTTTCTCCATGTTGGCCAGGCTGGTCTCGAACTCCCGACCTCAAGTGATCCACCTGCCTCGGCCTCCCAAAGTGCTGGGATTATAGGCATAAGCCACCGTGCCTGGCCCATCTTCTATCTATCTAGCTGTTTATACCTTTCCAGTTAAACTGAAACTTCCTGATGAAGGACCATATCTTACTCACTTTGTATATTTAATACGGTTTCCTATTGAGCGAATAAATTGCTAACTCTTATAAAACATGACTACTCCAGGTGTTTTACTCATACTCACTCACTTAACCCTCATGGCAATCCCGCAAGAGAAGTACTATATTATCTCCGTTTTACAGATGAGGAAACCCAGGCTCTAGGAGCTTAAGTGACTTGTTCAAGATCACACAGCTAGTTAGTGGAGCTGCTGGGCGTCAAACCCAAGCAGTCTGGCTCCGGGATCCATGCTCTTAAGGACTGTCCCAGACTGAGATGGCAGGAATATCTCAGCAGGTTTAGGAAAAGGCAGTTGGTTGTAGTTGGTGGCCACAGCACAGATGCAGAAATACCTCAGCAGGTTTGGGTATTTGGCTGTAGTTGGTGGCCACAGCAGAGAGGCTCAAAGGTTGGCTGGACTCTTGAGTGCTCTTGGATCTAGAGTCTCAACCTGCTTTGCCTTTGCAATCAGCTCCCCCCGTGGAGGGACCTGGTATAGGGAACACACCCATGTGCAGTAAGCCAAGGAGTGGCCCTAGCAGTAGGGAGATGGACATACGATGTTCTCGAAGCTCTGCTCCACAGCAAGCCAAACCCAGGTTTAAAGTGGACCACATACTTACACTGAGCAAACTGAGAAGCTCTCTTGAGTGCAGGGTGGCTCTGGTCAGGCAATGGGCATGAGGAGGAAGATGGGGCTTCCGGGAGTTCTCCTAAATAACAAAAAAATTAAGAGAGGAAAGTCTCATCAGAAAAAGGCAAATTGAAGGTATCCAAACATCACGATCAAGGCACATGGCTTGTCTTCTTATTATCTGCACATTTTTCAGTGTCAGGACTGGATCAGGCAGAGGCAGTGCCTGCAGCCCGGGTATGTGCACCTCCATGTTCTCACTGTGGACTTTTCACTCTTTCTTCACTAAGCTCTCAGCTCCTTGCTGGGAAAGATCTCGTCCATCTATGTGTTCTAAGCACCAAGCCCCATACCAGCCCCACAGATAGAAGGTGTTTTATGCACACTCATAAAATAAAATTAACTAACACAGTTCCAGGGGATTGCAGCACCCTAACACCTAGAATATCCAGGATCCCCAAGTCAATGCTTTAAACAGTGTTAAACTGGGTAACATGAGTTGGTGTGAAACTCATCACCACTGCTGACACCTCCTAATTCCCTCTCAATGTGCTCAAGTTTAATTATTAACTTAAAGCAGTCATCTGTGCTAGAGTGCAATGACCACGTCAGGCAGGTAAGTAAGGGAAGTCCTAGAGTGCAGACTTTGAAGGCAAAATCTTGTCCTATTTGTATCTTGAAGTGACAGCAGCTGAAGTGAATCTAAGACTCTGCCTGAGAAGAGACAAAAGACCTTGTCTAGGGTGTGCTTGTGATAACTTAGGTCATGAGAGCAAGAGAGCTGCCTGTCAAGAGGTCATCCTCAAAGTTCAGGTGGGAACTGAAGCAATCCATGTGTCCATAGAAAGAGAAATGGATAGGCCAGGCGCGGTGGCTCAAGCCTGTAATCCCAGCACTTTGGGAGGCCGAGACGGGCGGATCACGAGGTCAGGAGATCGAGACCATCCTGGCTAACACAGTGAAACCCCGTCTCTATTAAAAAAAATACAAAAAAATAGCCGGGCGAGGTGGCGGGCACCTGTAGTCCCAGCTACTCGGGAGGCTGAGGCAGGAGAATGGCGTAAACCCAGGAGGCGGAGCTTGCAGTGAGCTGAGATCCGGCCACTGCACTCCAGCCTGGGCCACAGAGCGAGACTCCGTCTAAAAAAAAAAAAGAAAGAGAAATGGATAAAGAAATGTGATGTATACATACAATGGAATATTATTTAACCTTAAAAAGTAACAAATTATGGCCGGGCGTGGTGGCTCACACCTGTAATCCCAGCACTTTGGGAGGCCAAGGCGGGCAGATCACAAGGTCAGGAGTTCAAGACCAGCCTGGCCAATATGGTGAAACCCCATCTCTACTAAAAATACAAAAATTAGCCAGGTGTGGTGGCACGCGGCTGTAGTTCCAGCTACTTGGGAAGCTGAGGCAGGAGAATCGCTTGAACCTGGGAGGCGGAGGTTGCAGTGAGCTGAGATCATGACACTGACTCCAGCCTGGGCGACAAAGTGAGACTCCATCGCAAAAAAAAGGTAATGAATTCTGGCTGGACGCGGTGGCTCATGCCTGTAATCCCAGCACTTTGGGAGGCTGAGATGGGCAGATCACCTGAGGTCAGGAGTTCGAGACCTCCCTGGCCAACATGGCAAAACCCTGTCGCTACTAAAAATACACACACACACACAAAATTAGTCAGGGGTGGTAGCAAATGCCTGTAATCCCAGCTACTACTCAGGAGGCAGAGGTGGGAGAATCGCTTGAATCCAGGAGGCAGAGGTTGCAGGAAGTCGAGATCGTGCCCCTGCACTCCAGCCTGGATGATAGAGCAAGACTCCATCTCAAACAAGAAAAAAAAGTAACAAATTCTGATATATGCTACAACATAGGTGAGCTTGGGGAACATTACATTAAGTGCAATAAACCTCTCACACACAAATATTGTATGATTCCACTCACATGAGGCATCTAGAATAGTCAAATTCATAGACAGAAAGTGGAATAGTGGTTGCTGGGTGTAAGGGGGTTGAGGGAATGTGGAATTTGTTGCTTACTGGATATAGAGTTTCAATTCTGCAACATGAAGCAAGGCGTGGTTGTCCATGCTTATAGTCCCAGCTAGTTAGGAGGCTGAGGCAGGAGGATCACTTGAGGCCAGGAGTTCCAGACCAGCCTGGGCAACATAATGAGACCCTGTCTCTACAAAACAATTCTTTTTTTTTTTTTTTGAGATGGAGCGCTCTGTCGCCCAGGCTGGAGTGCAGTGGCACGATCTCAGCTCACTGCAAGCTCCGCCTCCCGGGTTCACGCCATTTTCCTGCCTCAGCTGCCCGGGTAGCTGGGACTACGGACGCCTGCCACCATGCCCGGCTAATTGTTTGTATTTTTAGTAGAGACAGGGTTTCACCATGTTAGCCAGGATGGTCTTGATCTCCTGATCTTGTGATCTGCCCACCTCGGCTTCCCAAAGTGCTGGGATTACAAGCCAAACAATTCTTTAAATAGCTGAACATGGCAGTGTGAGCCTACAGTCCTGGCTACGGGGGAGGCTGAAGCAGGAGGACTGAGGTTACAGTGAGCCATGGCTGTGCCACTGTACTCTAGCCTGGGCAACAAAGTAAGACCTATCCCTAAATTTTTTTTTTTTTTTTTTTCCGAGACGGAGTCTCGCTCTGTCGCCCAGGCTGGAGTGCAGTGGCCGGATCTCAGCTCACTGCAAGCTCTGCCTCCCGGGTTCAAGCGATTCTCCTGCCTCAGCCTCCCGAGTAGCTGGGACTACAGACGCCCGCCACCTCGCCCGGCTACTTTTTTGTATTTTTTAGTAGAGACGGGGTTTCACCGTGTTAGCCAGGATGGTCTTGATCTCCTGACCTCGTGATCCGCCCGTCTCGGCCTCCCAAAGTGCTGGGATTACAGGCTTGAGCCACCGCGCCCGGCCTATCCCTAAAATTAAAATTAAAGTTACAGGCCAGGCACAGCGGCTCACACTTGTAATCCCAGCACTTTGGGAGGCCAAGACAGGCAGATCACCTGACCCCAGGAGTTCAAGACCAGCCTGGCCAATGTGGTGAAACCCTGTCTCCACTAAAAATACAAAAACAAATTAGCCAGGTGTGGTGGTGGATGCCTGTAATGCCAGCTACTCGAGAGGCTGAGGCAGGAGAATCGTTTGAACCCAGGAGGTGGAGGTTGCAGTGAGCCAAGTTCGTGCCATTGCATTCCAGCCTGGGCAACAAGAGTGAAACTCCGTATCAAAAAAAAAAAAAAAATTAAAGTTACAAAAAAGAAAATGATCTGGAGATTGGTTATATGATAATGTAAGCACACTTAACAGTACTGAGCTCTGAGCTGCCTACTTTTTTGTTGTTGTTGCCAAGGCTGGAGTGCAGTGGCCCGATTTCAGCTCACTGCAACTTCTGCCTCCCAGGCTCAAGTGATACTCCCACTTCAGCCTCCCAAGCAGCTGGGACTACAGGCGTGCGCCACCACAGCAGGCTAGTTTTTGTATTTTTGGTAGAGAAGTGGGTCTCACTGTTACCCAGGCTGCTCTTGAACTCCTGGACTCAGGTGATCCGCCCACCTCAACCTCCCAAAGTGCTGTGATTACAGGCGTGAGCCACTGCACCTGACTGAGCTGCCTACTTGAAAACGGTAAATTTTATGTTATATGTATTTTCACCACAATTTAGAAAAACACAAACTTCAGATGAATATCACTGTTCTCCTATTTAGCTGATAGGATTGTTACTTATTGTTAATTAGTGTTTTAAAAATGTTTGACTGGGCACCGTGGCTCACGCCTGTAATCCCAACAATTTTGGGAAGTTGAGTCAGGAGGATCACTTGAGCCCAAGGGTGGGAGACCAGCCTGGGCAACATGGCAAAACCCTATCTCTACAAAAAGTACAAAAAAATTAGCTGAGTGTGGTGGCACACGCCTGTATTCCCAGCTACTTGGGAGTCTTCGGCAGGAAGATCACCTGAGCCTGGGAGATTGAGGCTGCAGTGACTGCGCCACTGCACTCCAGCCTGGGTAACAAAGAACCTGTCTCAAAATTTAAAAATTAATTAATTAATTAATTCAGCAGAATGCAGATTATAAACAAAAGAAAAAGAAAGGAAAAAAATTTTTATAAACGTTTGCAAGACCTACTGAAGTTATTTACTTTTTTTTTTTAACACTCCCTAATACTTTTATCTCTATTGATGAGAGAAATAATCTACACTTAACCATGGAAAAACTGATAATTTTTTCCAAAGACTCATGGTTATCCAGTTAAGAGCAACATTTTAAGCAGAGCAATATCCTTAAACATGAAAATGCTATGAGATATGTCTATAAAGTGGCACTACGCAAATCTTATTTAAAATTCGCTAGGGGCTCAGTGTGGTGGTTCATGCCTATAATCCCAGCGCTTTGGGAGCCAAAGCACAAGGACTGCTGGAGGCTAGGAGATCAACACCAGCCTGGGCAATAAAGTGAGATCCCTGTCTCTATTTAAAAAATAAATAAGGCCAGGCGCAGTGGCTCACGCCTGTAATCCCAGCACTTTGGGAGGCTGAGGCAGGCAGATCACCTGAGGTCAGGAGTTTAAGACCAGCCCAGCCAACATGGTGAAACCCTGTCTCTACCAAAAATACAAAAATTAACCAGATGTGGTGGCGGCAGCTTGTAATCCCAGCTGCTCAGGAGGCTGAGGTAGGAGAATCACTTGAACCCGGGAGGCAGAGGCTGTGGTGAGCCGAGATCGTGCCACTGCACTCCAGCCTGGGCGACAGAGCGAGACTCTGTCTCAAAAATAATAATAATAATAATAATAATAATAATAATAAACAAATAAAACAAAATGCACTAGGATACATGCTGAGATATATTTGAAATGGGTCAAAGGTTTAAATGTAAAACATGAAACCACAGATTTAAATGTAAACTGTAAAAGTAAAAACACACACATATACCTGAGAAAATTCCTTTCTAAACTTCAGGGGGTTGAGTTTTCTAACTAAAACTTAAAATCTACAATGCATAAAAGAAAAAACGAATAAAATTTACTACATGAAAATAGAAGCAAGACCTCTTCTCCACAAAAAAATAGACAAAAAATTAACTGAGCGTGGTAGCGCCACCTGCAGTCCCACCTACTCAAGGGGCTAAGATGAACTAATTGCTTGAGCCCAGGAGTTCCAGGCCAGCCTAGGCAACATAGCAAAACCCTGTCTCTCCCCAAAACACAAGAATTAGCCGGGCGTGCTGACATGCGCCTGCGGTCCCAGCTACTCAGGAGGCTAAGGAGGGAGGATCACTTGAGCCTGGGAGGTCAAGGCTGGGGTGAGCCATGGTCGCACCACTGCACTCCAGCCTGGGCAACAAAGTAAAACCTTGTCTCAAAAAAATAAAAAAGAAATATTTAGAGCCCAGGAATTGCCACAGCACTCTAGTCAACCAGTCTAGGCAACAGAACAAGACCCTGTCTCCTGTCTCTAAAAAAAAAAATTGAGGCCAGGCATGGTGGTTCACACCTGTAATCCCAGCACTTTGGCAGGCAGAGATAGAAGGATTACTTTAGCCTAGGAGTTTGAGACCAGCCTGGGCAAAACAGTGAGATTTCATCTCTATAAAAAATTATGTAAAGGCCAGGCGCAGTGGCTCATTCCTGTGTAATCCCAGCACGTTGGGAGGCCAAGGCAGGTGGATCACCTGAGGTCAGGAGTTTGAGACCAGCCTGGGCAAAACAGTGAGATTTCATCTCTATAAAAAATTATGTAAAGGCCAGGCGCAGTGGCTCATTCCTGTGTAATCCCAGCACGTTGGGAGGCCAAGGCAGGTGGATCACCTGAGGTCAGGAGTTTGAGACCAGCCTGACCAACATGGAGAAACTCTGTCTCTACTAAAAATATAAAAATTAGCCAAGTGTGATGGCACAGGCCTGTAATCTCAGCTACTTGGGAGACTAAGGCAGGAGAATCGCTTGAACCCGGGAGACAGATGTTGCAGTGAGCCAGATCGCACCTTTGCACTCCAGCCTGGGCAACAAGAGCGAAACTCCTTAAAAAAAAAAAAAAAAAAAGTAAATTTAGAAATGTCTATATGGCATTATAAAACCTGCAAAAGATACATAAAAAGACAAATGACATATTAAGAAACAAAATTTGCAATTCATATAACAGACAAAAGGTTAATCCCTTTAATTTACAAAGAGCTCCTAAATGTCAATTTTTAGAAGACCAATAACACAAGATATGAAAGACAATTCATGGAGAAGCACAAATTAAAAGTGTAGTATAGGCCGGGCGCGGTGGCTCATGCCTGTAATCCCAGCATTTTGGGAGACCGAGGCAAGCAGATCACCTGAAGTCAGGAGTTCGAGACCAGCCTGACCAACATGGCAAAACCCCGTCTCTACTAAAAGTACAAAAATTAGTCAGTCCTGGTGGTGGTGCCTGTAATCCCAGCTACTCAGGAGGCTGAGGCAGGAGAATCACTTGAACCTGGGAGACAGAGGTCGCAGTGTGCTGAGATCACCTCACTGCACTCCAACCTGGACGACAAGAACATGATTCAGTCTCAAAAAAAACAAAAAAACAAAAAAACAAAAACGTGCAGTATACTCTCACGTCAATATATTTTCTTGAGTCAGAGTTTCATTCTTATTGCCCAGGCTGGAGGACAATGGCACAGTCTTGGCTCACTACAACCTCTGCCTGCTGGGTTCAAGCGATTCTCCTGCCTCAACCTCCCAAGTATCTGGGATTACAGGCACCCACCACCAAGACTGGCTAATTTCACATCAATATTTTGACCCATGAGATTGGTTTAAAAAAAAAAGGCAAATGTCTGCCAACACACTCAGTTGGCAGGTTGGGGACACACACTTTTTCTGTGGGAGTGAAGACTGGTATAACCCAACTGGAGGGTGATTTGGCAATGTATATCAAAATGACAAATGAATTCACCCTAAGACCCAGCTACCTTCACTACAATTTGAGCTACAATTATATCTGCACCCATATGAAACAATGTACATGCAGTTATTGATTTCAGCATTATTTGTCACTGTAAACAATTGCAAACAATCATGCATTCACCTGTAGAGGACTGAGTAAATAAATGTTGGCAAACCCAGATATTGGAATACTGAGCAGCTGTAAAAGGGAAAATGTGGCCGGGTCCAGTGGCTCATGCCTGTAATCCCAGCACTTTGGGAGGCCGAGGCAGGTGGATCACAAGGTCAGGAGATCGAGACCATCCTGGCTAACACGGTGAAACCCTGTCTCTACTAAAAATAAAAAAAATCAGCCGGGCGTGGTGGCAGGCGCCTGTAGTCCCAGCTACTCAGGAGGCCGAAGCAGGAGAATGGTGTGAACCTGGGAGGCGGAGCTTGCAGTGAGCCAAGATTGCACCACTGCACTCCAACCTGGGCAACTAAGCGAGACTCCGTCTCAAAAAAAAACGGGGGGGGGGGCGGAAATGCTCTAGGTGCTAAAAAAAAAGCAAAGAAAAAATGTCCTAAGTACTGTACTGTAAAATGAAGATGTATTAAGTAAAAGACAAAAGCAAAATGCAGGACAATATACATAATGTGCTATCTTTTATGTACAAAAAAAAGATTGGGAGAAAGAAGAATATAAATTCACATTCGCTGACATTTGCATAAATAACTTCTGAACACTCAAAAAACTGTAATAAAAGTGGTACACTGAGATGAGAGAATGGGGCAATTGGCAAGGATGGAAGAGAGATTGGGCTGTATGCCCTTTTTATACTGTTTGTTGTTTTGTTTTTTTTGAGACGGAGTTTCGCTCTTGTCACCCAGACTGGAGTGCAGTGGCTCACTGCAACCTCCGCCTTCCGGGTTCAAGCGATTTTCCTGCCTAAGCCTCTGGAGTAGCTGGCACTACTGGAGCGTGCCACCACGTCTGGCTAATTTTTTGTATTTTTAGTAGAGACGGGGTTTCACCACGTTGGCCAGGCTGGTCTCAAACTCCTGACCTCAGGTGATCCACCTGCCTCGGCCTCACAGAGTGCTGGGATTATAGGCATGAGCCACGACGCCCAGTCCTGTTTTGATTTTTGAATGAGAAATTTTAAATGTAACCCCCCAAAATTTAAAAATTGATCTTAAATTTGTATAAATAAATAAAATCACTAAGGAACCCAACCTAAGTTTAGGAGCACACAGGATACGAAGGTGCTTCTTTCTCAGATAATTTTTGGAACAATAAACTGCTCTCTAATTGTTTTCCTTAAGAAACTTTTCCCAAGGAATCATGCTTCTCCATTTACATAAGAAATGATTCTTCTTCTTTTTTTTTTTTTTTTGAGACAGAGTTTCATTCTTATTGCCTCCCAGGTTCAAGTGATTCTTATGCCTCCACCTCCTGAGTAGCTGGGATTACAGGCACTCGCCACCACGCCCAGCTAATTTTTGTGTTTTTAGTAGAGACAGGGTTTCGCCAGGTTGACCGGGCTGGTCTTGAACTCTTGATTTCAGATGATCCACGCGCCTCAGCCTCCCAAAGTGCTGGGATTACAGGCATGAGCCACTGTGCTGGCCAGAAATGATTTCTAAAGTAGCATAAGATTGTTTAAATATGAAAATATAAAGGATATAAAAGCTATCAGAAGAGGAAAAGCTATAGAAGAAATGCCTCTAAAGCATATGAAGCTAGCAGTGGCCAGAGCAGGAGGAAGAACCCTGGGAGACCAGACAGAGCTAACATCTAATGTCTGACAGGAAGGTGTTAGTTAGTTATTTTTCAATAACTCTGGAAGAACAACAGAGAAACTACAGGATCAGGACAGAAAGGTTTTTTTCTATATTGTACTGTTTAATATTAACATTAATACACTCCCCAGAGATTATATCTTAATAGACTGTATCAAGAACTAGTTACAAATTGGCATGCTGGTTTTATTTGTTTGTAGACAAGATCTCCCTCTGTTGCCCAGGATGGAATGCAGTGGCATGATCACTCAGCCTTGAACCCCTGGCTCAAGTGATCCTCCAGCCTTAGCCTACGGAGTAGCTGGGACTACAGGTGTGCACCAACACATCTGGTTATTTTTTTATTTTTTGTAGAGACAGGCTCTCTCTCCGTTGCCCAGGCTGGTCTCGAACTCCTGGCCTCAAGAGATCCTCTCACCTCAGCCTCCCAAAGCACTGGGATTACAGGCATGAGCCACTGCACTTGGCCTATATGCTTTGTTAAGAAAGAGATTTACAGCCAGATGCGGTGGCTCACACCTAATAATCCTACGCAGCCTTGGGAGGGCTGAGGCAGCCTTGAGGTCAGGAAGTTCGGAAACCAAGCCTTCAACATGGTGAAACTCCCTGTCCTACTAAAAAAGGGCCCGGGCGCGGTGGCCCCACGCCTCGTAATCCCAGCCACTTGGGAGGACCGAGGCGCCGGCGGATTCACGAGGTAGGGAAAGATCGAGACGCCATCCCTGGCTAACCACGGTGAAACCCCGTCTCTACTAAAAATACAAAAAAATTACCGGGGCGAGGTGGCCGGGCCGCCTGTATAGTCCCAGCTACTCGGAGGCTTGAGGCAGGAGAAATGGCTTGAACCCCCGGGAGCGGAAGCTTTGCAGTCCGAGCAGAGATCGCGCCAGCTGCACTCCAGCCTGGGCAACAAAAAGCCCAGACTCCGCTCAAAAAAAAAAAAAAAAAAAGTAAAAAAGAAAAGTAAAAAAAACCCGTGAAAAATGAGCCCAGGCCATGGTGGCGCACGCTGTTACATTCCAGCCCCAAGTCGCACCAGGCTGGCACTTCCAAGCCCTGGGGTGATGAGTGGACCTCTGTCTCAAATAAAACAAAACCAAAAAACCAAATAATAAAAAAAAAAAAAAAAAATAAGGAAGACATTCTACTAGTTAGAATTAATTAAGGCGTGCACAGTGGCTACACGCGCTGTAATCCCAGCACTTTAGGGGAAGGCTAAGGAGGGCAGATCACAAGTCCAGGAAGATCGAGAACGGCCTGGCCAACCACACGGTGAAACCCCCATCTCT